ACAGCTATAGAGAATATAGAATATAAACATATTATAAGTCTAGTATGTATAATACATATAACGTTTCGATTAAATGTCCGCTTTTTTTTTGTGATATTTTGAAAGAACAAGTCAAGTTTGTCTATGAATGTCTGGTATTAATAAGTTTCAGCTTTGGAAAATACATACAAGAAATAAGCAAATAAATATTAATATTCAAACAGATTATAAATACGAAAGATTCTCTTTTCCAGGAAAGAAATACAATTAATTAAATCAAATCAGCAAGTTACAAAACGTAAAATATAAATTTTAGCATTAAAAACAGAATGAGAGATTCTGTTTCCCAGAAATAAAATTTGTCATCGAATTTAATTGATTAAATAAAATTAGCAATTTGAAAATTGGGTAATAATCTGTAATCTTGGGTAATAATCTAATCTGGATTTTATACATGTACTTCTAAGAGTCAGTATCAGTTATCATTAAAACTATATTATAACCCACTAATGTCCACTCATATTATGGCTACAGAGCGTTAAAATATAAAAAAAAAATGTAGCAAGAGCAGAAACAGATGAGGAAGTCGAATGTTCTTGGCTGGGTTGTGGACCATGGAGAAAAAAGGGGACGGTGAGCCGTGGGCAGTGGGCGAATCATTGATGCCAAACGGAAATGTGCGCACTTTCGAGAAGTGCACTAAAAATGGCGACGAGCACTTCCGTTGATGGCCCCACCGACCAGAATTGACTTTGACTGGGGCTATGACTGTGGTCTGGCTTGTTTGTCGATAGCTCGACTCGCCTGGATGGCGGCTGTGGCAGCCAACACCCACACAGAAGGCACACACACACACAAAGCACACACACACACAAATAGAAACAGTGCAAATGTGCGCATAAAAGTTGAATGATAGTTTGAAGCGCTGGCAGCTAAAATCACGTAGCCGTAGAGCAAGTCAGAAACAAGTTTGAAAAAGAAAAACAAAAAAGAAAAATTCAAACCAAGATACTTCTTGCAACGTTGAGGCAGGACTGCAATCACAGAAGCTGTCGGCCAGAATAACGTGACAGCCCGCTTGCCCCAACGCTTGTATGGCCATGTAAGCAAGCGACAACATTTCAAATTGCATTTAAAGTGCCTGAAATGCTTTGCATTTATCTGGACGAAGACTGAGCTCGGATCTGCTTCATTAGCGTGCAACTTGAGCATACAACATGGCGTATGATTGATATGATTAGCTCTTTTCTATTGCCAGCTAATTGCTGCTCGCGTAATAACAGCAGCTCTCAGCAGAGAAGAAATTATAAACTGGGTAATACATGAGTGAAAGTTTACCTGAAAAGCACTCAGCGTTAATACAATGCTGAGCGTCAGCGAGGAACACAAGTTTAAACTTCACTTCACTTCAGTTAATTGTGTTTAATATTTGTAAAATTGTTAACTAAATAATGCTATAAATTCTATAACTAAAAATGGTCTTCAGCTTATCAAAATTTAAACTTTCTAAACTTTTCAAAGGCATTGCATTTATATAACCTGAATTCATTTTGAAAGGGAAAATAAATAAAACAGTTCTGGTACAGTATGTAACACGCAGAAGGAAGCCTGCCTGACACTATAAAGAATATATATTCTTGATCAGCATCAACAGCCAAGTCGATTTAGCCATGCTCTGTACTTCTGTATAAGCGAGTCGACCTCCAAGACTATGAGTGCTATAGACTTAAAGTCCTGAATACAAGTCCTCGTATGCTTTCGGCAGATAACGGTTATTTCATCTGATAGATAACTGCCACCGTTTCACGAATATCGATACTAATCGATATCCGATATATTATATTATCTGAAATATTATTGATGAACTGTACAAATTGCATTCAGATAGAATAATAAACATAGTTTTCGCTAACCAAAACGTATTTTCAAATTATTAATTAATTATTCAAAAGCTGTCTTCAGATTATCTTCTTGACTTGTTGAGCAATGCTTAGCCGCAAGATTAATATACATTTAAATATGGTCAAAATGCATGATCATTATTCAGCCAAACTACTATTATTCCACCAGTATATCTATATATATCGCACCCCCCGTCAATTCGCTTAACAGACCAATTTTTGGGTTCACGGCATGGAAAAAGTAACGGAACAAAATGTTTGGCCTGGAAAGAGGCAATAAAATTTTGGTCAAAAGCAGAGGCATAGATAAGCGTCAAACAGTTCACAGCCACCACTCCTACCAACCAACCCCTCCCCGCACCATCCCCTCCCATGTCATTCGCTGAAAATGCGCTCAAGCGTGAATATTAAACGTTTGCTCTGCCGCAGCAACAAAGGGGCGGGCTGGGGGAATTGGGGTGCCTGGAGGAGGAGGTGGCGGGGGACAGGACGATAGGCAAGCGTCCCTTACGCAACCGCAACGCAACGCAACACTGGCGACGATATTGAAAACTTTGATGGAAAACTTTGCGCAAAACTTACGAAATATATATGCAAAGAACACATATCCGCAGCGCTTGAAAAACGATTCCATTTCGCGTTATGAGAGTGACTACTGTAGCAAATGTTCACCGCAAAATAAACACATAAGCAAAATCCAACTAAGCTGGCGAAATCGTTTTTAATGAGTTGTCAAACTGGTAATATAACTTTCAAGGCTGACACACATTTTATTGGCTGGCAAGCCAAATCCCTTCTCGACCAAAACAACAATCAAACCAAAAGCTATTTCAAATGAAAGGTAAACTTGTGGGTCAAGGGTTCAAGGGTTATGCTGTGTATGGTTTTGATCTTTGCAGCGTAATAATTCCCATTTAAAATTTGTTCGGGGCCACATTGCGTGGCTAATCACGAGACCCCAAAAATGATGCTCCCAAATGTGTGTATGTGTGTGTGTGTGCGTGTGTGTGTGTGTAGAAAATCTTAAATGAATCTCGAATGGGGACCAAAAGTTGTAGTGATTAGGCAACAGGCAAGAGAACGCGTCGCTTTAAATCATAAATTGAACCCACAGGAATGCATATTAATATGCAAAGCACGCCAGCTCAAGAGGATGGGTGGCTGTGGCAAGGAGTGGAGTGTGAGTCAACATAATGAATTATGCCACGCCTAACGAGACGACAGCAGAGCAGTCAGCATGGCTATAGAATTACTGCTGCTGCTGCTGCTGCTTTTGCTTCTTCGTCTGCTCGCTGCTATGCAAGAGAAATCCAATAAAAATTCAATAAATTCCGCACAATGCTCGTAATGTTGCCCCGCTTCTAGGTGTGTCTGTGTGTCTGTGTCTCTGTGTGGACGTATGTGGGAGTGTGTGCGTGTGTGTGTGTGCAAAAATTGAGAGAGCACATGGGGTTAAACGAGCTGCCTGCTCGACACAGACACGATTTTGCCATGACTCTTGTTTATATACACACGGAGAAAAAGCGCATAAAATGTAAAAAATAAATAAATAAAAATTAAGTGCATCATTCAACTCAAGTTGAAAATGTTTTTAATATCACAGAGAGAAAATGCTGTTATAAATTCAAGCATAAAAATAAAAATATATATATATATATGAATAAAGTGCATAAGCTTAATCTGAAAATATTTTGAACATCGCGGAGATAAAATTCTGTTGTTAATTCAAGCATTAAATTAAAAAATAAACTGCTCCTTGCTACAACTAAATCTGGAAATATGTAATTAAATTATTTACGCTGATAACTGTGGCCAAACTGAACCGGTTTTCAGAAGCAATACAATTTTTAATATGATTTTAAGTGTAGATAAATTCAGCATGAAATATTGGAAATGATGTACAAAACAGTCCACTTGAGGTTGTTCTATATTTTCCAAACTCATAAATTACTGAAAACTGAACTGATATTCCAAAGCAATACCAAAAATTGATTTCATTGAGTATTTCTATATCTTCTGAGCTTAAGAACATTACATCTTCACAATACACAATCCGATACTTCAAGGATTCCTCGTCATTATCACAAAATCGGCAGATTTCGTTACTTATTAGACTAGCTAGGTGAATACAAAATATGCACATATTTTTCCAAGTGTAAACATACTCACACGCATTTAATTTATGTTCGTTATTTTCTTAACAATTTTCTTATGGCGCCCAAAAACAGGCAATGGCAAAAGGGCAAGAAAGTGACCGGAAGTCGCCGTCGACCCCAAGAAATATGGCGCACAAATAAAAAAATTAAATTTCAACCGAGTGTCGAGTCATTAATTGACGTCAAAAATAGGGTTAATATAGCTAGCAAGCACACACGCACATACTCACACACGCACACACACTTCCGCAAATAGTTAAATATAGAGATGCTGCCGCCTCCTTGCCCCTCTCTCCATCTCACTCTCTCCCCATCTCTATCTGTATCTCCATCTGTGCTCCCCTTTGTCCCTTCTTCCAGCTGCCTTATATCATGTCAACACAGTCATCAACTGACTGTCGTTTGAAATTGCTGTCGACCTTTTTGTGTTGCCTGGCAGGCAAATGATGCCTATTTGATCAGCAGCCGGGCAAAAGGATAAGCAAAATGAAGCGCACACCAACAACAAAAGAAACAACAACAATACAACAACAAAAATAAAAATAAATAAAAATAAACGAACAAAAAGAAAAAGAGTGTAGAAGCAGCATACGCGCCATAATGTTAAACGAATGCAAAGACGAAAGGGACATTTTTCTATGCCCTGGACACAATAATGTCCTCGAACAGGGTATGATTAGGCACAGCCCTTTTTCATCACGGCTAACGTTACAAAATCTTATATAAAATTTGTCATAAAATGCATTTTATTTGTTTTATTTAACAACCTAAGCCTTTATTTATTTCTCATTATCTGTTACAGAATTTTACAAAATATATGACTTACTCAAAAGAAAATAACATTGCAAATCGTATTTTCATTGGCTTGTACATGGTATGTGTTAGTCAAGCAATCTGCATTGTCAGCTGACTTCGCTAGGTTCTTTTTTTTTGCAATAAGTCGAAATGAGAAAGACATACTAACCTAAAGTCGTAGGCTGGCTGGGTCAGCAGTTAACCAGGACCCTCTTCTTGTACTCCTTGTTGCCATTCAGCAGTTGTTCTTGCTGCTGCTTGTTTTGGTGTTGGTTTCTATGTAAATTTTTATGAGCACGCGGCAAAATGTATGCGCAAATAAAATTAATACGAAATTGCCGTTTGTATTAGTCGGTGATAGGCGCTGTTGTTGCTGTTGCTGTTGTTTTTGTTGTTGTGGTAGTTGTTGCTTTTATTGTTGTAGATTGTTGCAGTTGCTTAGGGAGATTGGATTTTCGTTTTATTTTTATCAGGGTGGCTTTTTTTTTTGTTTTGGTTGTGGCAGCAGTTAGATAGTGTTTAGCTTTTGATTGTTAGTTTCAAATTAATTTAGACGCGACATTTTTGCTGTAAATTTAATTAAATTAGGTGCTTAAAATTTAGTTGTAGCATTTCTCAATCGATGAACTGAGACCTAAATTGCTTGTTAATTTTTCTCATTATTTATATGTGTGTTTCCATAGTGTATTTATATATTTATTTAGTTATTTTATTTTTTTTTTTTTTTCATTATTTGCACCCAGCCAAGCAATTTCTTGCATTTGCCTAGAAGTAGGCACCGGAATTTATTTCACCACGGCAGCTTGGCTTGTGTAAATAAAGTGTTGCCTACTATGTCGCGCCTACTATGTATAATAAAAAGAATCCCATGTTGCTTTTTATTCATTTGCGATCGTTGTTGCCATATTTTTACGAGTTGCTCTTTTTTTTTTATTAAAACAACTTATTTCGTTTGGCAAATGCTTGCACACCAAAACTTCCAATTATTAAAAAATTCAAGAATATTGTCTGCACTTAAAAAGTTTACTGCACACACACACACATACACACAGACACGCAGAAGCCATAAAAGCCAAAAAAGACAGGCAAAAAACTTTGTTGACGCAAAAATAGATTCCTACACTTCAGTTTTTGCTTTTCCCTTACACACACACACATACACACACACACCGAAAAACAAAAAAAGCAGCAGCAGCAAAACACGCGCGCAGAGTTTGCTGCTGCTGCTTCTTCTTCTTCGTCTTCTTCTTATTTTGCCTGCTGCTTGCTTTTCAAAAAATAACTCTAGGATACACAAAAAGACATGCCGTGTGCGTATATGTGTGTGTGTGTGCGCGTCTGCTTAGCACAAAGGTGAAACTTTGGATGATGTTGTTGTTGTTGTTGTCGCTTTTGCTGTTGCTGACTGGCTGTTGATATAATCATGAGAATACGAATTTGGCTTAAAAAGCGAACGACAAATTAACGACGAATGGCTGAGCAAACGGTAAACGATAAAACGGTAAAGCGGCAAAATGGAATGAAAGCGAAACGAAAAGTGCACAGAGAAATGTGTATAAAAATACATTTAGTAATAAATTAAATGATTTGCACACTAACCCCAAACACACACACACATACACACGCAGACACACACGCACACACACATAACACGCGCGCAAAACTAACGAAGCGAAGCAGCAGTGACAGCATAAAACACACACACACACACTGAAGCATACGCACACACCCAAAAGGACATGAACATAAATACATAAATAGTAGTAGATTTCCTTTGCTTGATTTCTGCCTATTTTCGTGTACAGTGGGCGCCACTGCCTGCCTGTATGTGTGTGAATATATGTGTAATGGAAGCAGAGGACGTGTATTAATGCCGCCTCTGCCTCTGCCGCGCTTCTGCCCGTCGTAGCTTAGCGCGCAAAAACCGACAGATACACGAACATTTAACACCCAAAAAAATGCGTGGCGCATGTTTCAAAAAATAGGGAGCCAAAGCAGCAGCAGCAGCAGTAGCAGCACGCAGCAGCTAAAAGGTAATAGACAGCTGCATACTCCCAGAAACGATTTTGCCAATTTATTAATTCATTGAAATTTTTGGTTTTGAATTTCGGCACTGGGTTCACTTTTTACTTGTATGTATTTGTGTAAGTGTATATGAATTAATTTTTTTTTGGCTGATGTTTTACCGCACTTTAATTTCCTGCCGCGCTTTTGTGTAACGCACACGCTGATATCCTGTACTCAACTGAGGGAAGCCTTTTTTATGTCAAGTGAGCAGGATAACGACGACAACGACGACGACACCGTTGACGAAGACGCAAAAAGCTTGCACATCGCGCAGCCAACATAAAGTGCGTCACAATTTGCGTGCAGCCAACTTAATATAGATTTTACGCAACAGTTGCACAACGGTGGTTATATTTGGCGCGCAATTTGAAAAAGACTTCAAGCAAAGCCATTTTATTATCAACTTTTTACAATTGAATTTCGAATTGAAAGAGCCAAGCTTGATTTGTATGGTCTGCTTAATATGTAATTTTTTAAACATATATGCGGGCATAATGGGCATACACAAATACACAAATATATGTGTAAGCATGTATTAAAAATATAACATAAGTCATTATTTGCTATAACTATACAAATGCGGGCTGCCTTGTTCTGGGAATCACTTTAGAATGTGGCATGATTACGTATAAAGTAAACATCGTATTCCTTTTCGATCCATTTGATTAGCTTGTCCACATACTTAATAACCGTTGCCTTGTCCACAATCGACTCGAATACCGCATATAACTCATAGGTGGCTGTTACCCAGGCAAGGATAACCTCTCGATCCCTCAGCTCGTAGATCAATTTCAATGGTCGCGACTGATTGTGGATGCGATGTAGCAAACTGCAATAGATCGCCTCCAATCGTTCAAATTCCGACAAGGTCTTGTACGGATGCCGCAGCATGGGGAAGAGCAACTGGGCCGTTGCCTTTGGCTTGTAGAGAAAGTGTCGCAATTCGGGCATGCTGAGCATCTGTTGATACAGTTTGGCATTGTGCGGCTCCTGCAGCTCCTCATTGATCGCCTGCAGGCACTGACTGCGTTCCAGCTTCTCTGTAATGCGCATCTTCACCGACTGCATTATGTCCGATGCATTCTTATCGACGGAGATGAGCAGCAAACAGGCCGGACAATCATTGGTTAAATACGAAATGTGCGCATGCCAAAAGCCATTCATATTGAATTTGGGCAAGCAAATTGGGAGCCAGTGGGGCGAATTCTTGAACGATTCCGTGCACTCAATCAGATTGAATATCAAACGCAAATCGGACGGATGAATCGAATACTTCTTCATGCGCACCAGCGCAATCAGTTTGTTGTCCGCTATCAGCACGGCAAACACCAAATCCTTCACTTTCGAGCAATTGCTCTGAATCGCGCTGATAATATTCGATCTGACAGCCGTTGGTAATGGAAAGACGCGTATCGAGTTGGTCAGAAAGGTGAAAATATTGCTGGAAACTGCAAAGAACAAAAAAAAACATTACAATTAGTTGCAATTGTGAAATTTGCTACAGTGATCGCTCGAAAGTTGTAACTGTTAATAGAAGAATTTAAATGGTAGTTTTGAAAGTGTTATCCTCAAACAAATATTGAAAATTCTTTTAAAAAAAATATGACTATAATTTGTGGACAATTCTGACAGCAGAAGTTCGCATTTGCGAGCGGTCACTGTACACACTTATATGTATTCTTTTACCCCTTGCATTGCTGCTGTCATTGGCAAGCAGATTGAAGATTAGACGCTCGCTGCCGGCAAGTGAACGCCTCAAGTCGAAATTCTTGCGACGTTCGAAAGTCTTCGACAGATGCGAATGAGTTAACAAGGAAAGTATTTGATAGTAGACATCGCTGAAAAATATGCAAATGTGATTAGCTTAGCAGTGGCTCCTACTGAGTAATCATTCAGCTCACCTCAGCTGCAGCTGCAGCTGTTGAATGCTCATATTGGTGCGCGAAGCGGCGACCAAAATCAGCGAATTGCGATGCATAAAAGCGAACTTGATGCCACCCGCATGGATGGATATGATGCCATCCTGGTCGCGCTGCACAATGCTAACCAGCACCTGAATGACACCAAACAGTGCCGCCAGCTTGTCCTCATTGCCGTGCAGCGAATAAATTGGTTTGCCCGCCTCGCTTAGTATGAAAATATGTTTCTTTTGGCCGCGCCAAACGCTGTCGTGCTGATAGTCATCCAGATCCTCTTCAACGGCATTTGTGCTGACGCTATCCTCGGTCTTGGCACTTGTCGATGTGCTCAGCGCCAGCGACTCCACGGATGTGGTCAAATCTTTATTCGTTTGTCCCGAAACTGCCTCCGAAATAATATTGTGGCCCTGATGATGTTGTTGCTCCGCATCCGCATCCGCCTCCTGATAGAGATCGCCAGTTTCGTGCTCGGAATCACCTTCGGCATCCAGGTATTCACATGTGGAATTCGTGTCCGATGTAGCGGTATTTGGAGTGGGCGTTTGTTCAGTTTCCATGATGATGTTCGCTAATTTTGTTTGCAAAATAAAACATTATTATTGCACAGCCAGTGGCGGACATCAATCGATTAAATGCTGTTATCGATATATATGCACACTGTTAGTTTTGTTGTTGTTGGTATTTTCAACTATACGCAGTGCGGTCACTCTAGCATGCATGTTATGAAAACAGCGGAAAAATGTTGAGAAAATCGTTTAATAACTGTGAGTAAATGAATTAAATATTAATTATAGTAACTGGTATATGCAACATGTATATTCAACACTTGCAGTGCCACGGTTTGGTCAGCTGTTCTCACGCCTACAAAGCACACAGAGTGCAGCGACAGCCGTCGAGGAACCGGAAGATATTGATGTGATTGAAGAACGGATTCTCAAACATCCGGATTACTTCCAGGTGAACAATTTGTTCACTGTGCGCGATCTGTTCAATGCCCGCGTGCACTATGGGCACAAGGAGGGCTCCCTCGACGATCGCATGCGACCGTATCTATATGGCAATCGCTTGGGCCACCTGATCTTCGATTTGGACAAGACAGCTACCCATTTGCGGCAGGCACTCAATTTTACGGCACACATTGCATTCCGTGATGGCATCATATTGTTCTTCAATCGGAATGCACTCAACGCACTGCTCGTCGAGCAGAAGGCCATGGAGGCGGGCGAATATTCGCACACGCGCTTCTGGCGCGGCGGCATCTTTACCAATGCGAATGTCCAGTTCGATGCCGTCACCAGGCTGCCCGATCTGTGCATCTTCCTCAACACACAGAACAATGTGATGGCCCAGCATACGGCTGTGCGTGATGCAGCCAAAATGGCCATACCCACAATTGGCATTGTCGACAGCAATTGTAATCCCAATTTGATTACGTATCCGGTGCCCGGCAACGATGATTCCCCCGCCGCAGTCGAACTCTACTGTAATCTGTTCAAGGAGGCCATTTGGCGTGGCAAACGTAAGCGACGAGAAGTGCTCGGCTTGCCTCCCATTAATGAGGCTAATTTTAAAGCCAGTCGCAGTCGCTCCAAATCCAACAAAGTCAATTAAAACTAAGCTATTTTAATTTTGAATATATAAAACCACAATACTTTATTGAACTGCTTAAAAAAAAAAACAAGAACTTTGAATAGCTTTGGCAAATGTACAATATAAAGTTTATGTTAATTAAATTTGTACTTGATGCGTAACTAGAAAAACAATAAGAAATTGAGCCTATTTCTAAATATTTTTTTTTCCGGAATTATACGGTAATTAAAATATACAAAGAATAGAACTCGATGAGCTAAGTGAAGATATTGGAAAAACGAAGGAAGTTGTTCATTTCTATGCTATTCCAAATTTATGGAGATCATCTTATGATCTTATTGTTATCATAATAAATAACCTCAGCAACGTTTCTAAAGAATCAAAAAGAAACAGATAAAGCAATAAAACACATTTAAGCATGCCTGCCAATCATAATATAGTTTACAGGCCACTAACAGACATAGAACTAACAGCTGTAACATAACATACAATATCGATAAGGATCGAACGATATTGATGAAGCGATCAACAGCTTTGAAGACGATCGATTTTATATTGCAAATAAAGTTTTTTGAGAACTATTCAATTTAGCTGTTGTCTGTTAAAGCCTTGGCATAAGTTATATGTATATATATATATATTATAATTAATTCATTTTGTGTGTGTATGTATAGGTATATGTATAAATAGCAGGCTCATAGCGCGATGACAATTTCTCATCTTATAAATAACTAGGTGTAACTCTCGCTCACGCCTTGGTTGTGTTCTAGGGCGGCAGCAGGGTGCCTCCTTTCACAAAGCTGGAGTTGTAGCTGTTGTAGATGGGGGTTGTTGTTGCTGCTGCTGGATGCCATATCCGCTGCATAAAGTTGTTGAGTGCTGTTGAAGCCCTGCTGTTGACCTGGTCCAAAGTAATTTGAATATTGGCCAATCGCTGCTGTTGCTGCAGGAGGTGTCGCTGTCGCTGTACCGGCTGGCAACGGTGGCATGCCACAGCCAGCCACATCGCCAGCGAGACCACCCTTGATGGCGCGACCCGTGCCAAAGATCTGTTTACGCATCGGCGCCCGTTGAAATGAATTCTGCTCGTTATTCTTGTGCCAACCGGCATTGACCATTTTCCTCACGTAAACCTGCCCCGTGACCGGAATTTGACCCGCGAGCGCTTGACCGGTGGCGTTTCCAGTGCCATCGTTCTTTTGGTTAGACTGCTGCTTTTCAATGCTCGGCATGCTTGATCGTCAGCATGGCTTTGTGCGCCCCAATATATTCCTCAGCCTTCTGCAGCCGATCCAATTGCTTCTCGTCCAGCGAATCCCGGGGCAGTTTACTCAGCCGTTGCACGGTTCGTTTCCAATTGTGAAATTCACGATTCTTGAACGGTTTCATAGCCTGTCTGTACTCCTTCCACTGTCGCTGCCGGTCTTCCTTTGTGCCCGGCGGCGCTTCTTCCAGTGGAGGCGGCGCTTCCGGTCTCTGTATCCATTTGCCATCGATTTCGACAAAAGTGCCTCCGCCTTTTTTCTTTTTGATAAGACGATTGTTTGCCGAGGAATTGCTATTGGTGGAGTTGCTGCTACTGCTCCCACTACTGCTGTTGCTGTTGGCTCCCGCTGTAGCTCCGCCAGGTGGTGGTGGTGGCGGCATTAAAGCTGCATCCAGTAAAGCATTGTTATCCGATTTGCTGCTGTTATTGCTGGATTTGTATTTCTTGTTTGGCTGACTGTTTTGCTTGTTGATGTTGTTGTGGTGTCGCTGCTTCTCCTTGGGCACCAGATTCCACAGACTCGGACACTTTGGCATGGGCGGCTGTATGGGCGGCGGTCGCAGCTGTGGCGACATCATATCCTCCCAGAACGGAGGCGGCTGCAATGGTCGATGCTTGCGTCCACCAGATGGTCCCGGACCCATGTTACCCATTTGGCAGGGCGGCATCATTGGCGATGGGCCACAGGGACCTGGCCCAAAATTGCCAAAGCCCATGGACATCAGGGGAAAAGGCAACGGCGGTGGTCGACTCAATGGTTGAAATGAGTTATTGTTGTTGTTGTTGTTATTATTATTGATGTTGTAGACGTGATGATTGTTATAGTTTCGATTGTTGTTGCCGTGCTGCTGCTGTTTGTTGTTGTTCTCGTTTTTATACGGTTTGCGTCCGTTGCGTGTGTTTGTTGTTGCGGAGCCTTCAGGCTGCTCCTTGGCCTCTTTCGTCTTCTTCCAATCGGCGAAGGACATTTGCAGTGGTTTCGCTACGCTATCTTTATTATCAGCATTATCATTGTTTATCGTTTCCGTTGTATCGGCTGTATCGGCCTCTGTGGCTGCATTTTCAGCCATTTTTACCGATTTTAATACAGAGAATATGCGGAAATATTCTCAGCAAAGTAGCGCTCAGAAAAAATGTTGTAGAATTTAGCCGATATTTTATTTGTGTTACCAGGGGTACTTCACAACCCTGTGTCGTCAAAAAATATTGCATGGGTGGCAACGCCACACTGTCAAATTATCGATGTGACCGCCAGTGAAAAGTGTTCATGGATTATCATTATTATTAAATTATTGCCGCAATGCCTCTAGTCGTAATTAAAATTTATTAAATAAGTAGTAGTGAAGTAATAATAAAAAATAGTAATGCATTTCAAACTAAACGATATGTTGTAATTGCGTTGCCCAATCGATTGTGACCCTAGTTTCGGTCACCATCGATAGTATCGATGACTGTTTCACAGATCTAGCAGTCGCAGAGATTTTTGGTAAGCTTGAATAGAGCTACTTCGTTAAAATAAAACAGGCAGAGCTAAAAAAGAAAAAAACGTTGCTCTTCGTTATAAACAAGGCTTTGCATAGTTTATCGGGATCGGGTTATTAGCAAAAGTTTTATTGTGGCAGTTCAGCTGCACAGTGGCCAACAGTTACAACAGCAAGTGGAGCGCTGCTGCGCAGCCAACGCGTAGTTTCTTCCATTGCTGGCATATAATACATAATATTACTTAATTTGCAACAAAATCCAGTGGCATATTTACTTGAAATACTAACAAGTTGCAAAAGCAAACCCAAAATTCTGTGTAAGTTCTACTGAAGTAATTTTTTTGTGGAATCATCGAGGGAGAGTTTTACGCCCAAGGCAACTCGAGCAGCGCTGCCGGCGTCGCAGTCGCAGTCACAGACATATTTGTTGTTGCTATTCTCGACATATGATTCAATAAGTGGGCATGATCGCTACGCGTCTGCCGCTAGTGCTGCAGCAGCGACGCGGCGGCACTGACAGTTTTTTGTGTAATATTTTTGTGTGTGTAAAATGCTATTTAAAATCAGAATCCGCCTCACACCCCTCGCACATAACGGCAATTAGACGCAGCAGTAAATGCTGCGTTTTTTTCTTCTTGTTAATGAAACTTAAATGCCGCGCGGACAAAAAGACGGAAAGAAGCACACATACACAGACATGGCCATTGTGCCCGTTTAATAATGCAAACAGTTTTTTTTTGGAGACGTTCACAATTATCATTCATACTTTGTTCCTAAATGATTCACGGCGGCTCTAAGCATTTTTGGCAAGAAAATGTGAGCAGCACTGAAGCAACTATCATAAATCTAATTTAATCAGCTTTGGCCTACCTCCGAAGCTCTTATCAAAGTTGCAAATGATATGCACACATTTTCATACAATTTAGTTAATTTATATTGTGCGCGTGTGTGTGCGTTCTTGGTATCAACAGCTGCGTCGCAATTCGCAGCAAACACTGCTGGCAGCAGCAGTTACTTGTAACAGTCAATATTTACCGTAATAGCGATAACCGATAAGAAGAAAAAGAACAGCGATAGATCGATTTCTTATCGCTAGTACGTTACATGTATGGATTTAAATTTTGGTGTAAATGCCAATTTACAAAAAAAAACTAAATGAAATTAGTGATATACGAATTAGGAAATTGGAACAGCAATTAGTAATGTAGGGTTTCCACTTGTTTTATACGTATATTTACCCATTTTTTTCTATTGCAGGGGGAGGTGCGGAAACGCTTCTACGACTTCTTTCACACACAAAATTTTCGCAACATTCAATACACACACTCACACACACATACATACATACATATACTGAACAAGCAAAACGAACGAACTCAAAACTAGAGAGAGAAAGAGAGAAAGATAACAAAACGGCAACTTTGTAATCAAATCGAAACGAGGGAAACCAGAAAACCAATCGAATCAGAATCAGAATGGCGCACACACATCTGGGCAGAGCGGTGAAAAATATTGAGGCACCGCGTCCGCTGAAGACACAATCGCGTTCATCGTTGAAGAACAGCTATTTGGTTATTGAGGAGCTGATCCAGTTGATTGACAATGTGACCGTTGGTCTGCAATCGTGCAATACGACATCGGAATCGATAACATTGTTATTGCATAATTTGCGGGTGCATGGGCCGCAGCTGGAGGCGGTATCGAAGGATACGCTGGATCGTGCTTTCGTTGTGTTCCGCAATGCTTCGCAGGACGAACGTCTGAACATAACCACACGACTCAAGCTCCTCGAACTGATCGAATTGCGTGCGCACAGCTGGGAGGACAATGACACAATTGCCTACTACAAGTCCAAGCAGCAAGTGTCCAGCGCTGAGGTGGGCTAAACAGCAATATACAAATTTAAAATATAAATATATAGATTAAATTAAATTAAATTTGTTACATCAGTTGCCCGCTGAATCATATCAACACGATGCTGCCGGCATGGTTGGCAACCAGCAAGCCTTTCTCAGCACCTCCCCCACATTTGGTGTCGGCGTCGGCGTGGGTGCACTTGTTGGCGGCGCTGCTGCCGCAACGGCAGCTGCATTCAATGCGGCCACGGTTGCCGCTGCCGCACAAGCGGCGGCCATTGCAGCGGTCGGCTCACCCAATCAGCAGCATATGCTGTTGCCACCCGGTGAAGTCATCCGCAACTCGGGCAAATTTCCCAAACCGACAAAAATTCCGGGCAAAACCTACTGCAAAGATGAGGTCGTCATACGCAACGCCGACTCGGGCAAGGGTAAGTATTTCTGAATTGTTACTCCTCATATATAGACACACGAGACTCTATTCTTCTGTTTTATATCTGCTGCCTGGCTGCCAATATTAGTTATGGGCATTAAGGGCCGACGCGTACACATGATCGAGGAACTTAGCGAAACAATAATTTCCTTTCAAAGAGGTAAAACCGACAGTAAACAACATTTTTGCACAAATTGAACCTCAGCGACGCATTATTTAAAAACTGTCTTGTCTGAAATTGGCTTGCTTGCATAACTCCCCCACAATTAACATTAATTCTCGCATGTCAAACTTTTATTTTTAATATGTTTCTCTAATTATTTTATTCACTTATTGGATCCAAGGCTCGTTTTTTATTATCATCCATATGTACATATGCATTTCTCATTATTCAAAATAAATAGCTGTTTTATTTATTAAGATTTTCGATTTGTATTAATATATATATTTTTTCGTTTAGTCAATCCTGGCGCCAAAGAACGTCTGGTGCAAATTACCGGACCAGATGAAAACAAAATTAAGTAAGTCAATTAATTAATTTTCAATTTGAATTTCTTCCACTTTGTTATTAACTATTAAGTTCTGATGATATTTCTGACTGACAAATTTATTTTAATTTCTGCAGTTATGCCAAGCAATTGATGGGCGACACCATACGTCGCAACGCCTCACCGGTGCGACTGGAGCCGGCACCATCCGCTGGCGGAGCTGGTGGCTCCTGTTCGTCGCTCAACTCATCCAATTCGGACGATGCTGTCCAGCCACGTACTCCTGGTGCCGGAGGCGTCAGCAGCAGTTTGGCCAATCGCTTGAGCTTCAATTCGGCACAGAATTTCATGACTGCCACAGCAGCAGCAGCGGCGGCACAGCAAATGTCGCAGCAGCAACAGCACCACCACCACCATCAACAGCAACAACATCAGCATCATCAGCAGCACCATCAGCAGCAGGTTGCTGCAGCGGCAACAGCTGCTGCCGGTAAAGTTATGCGACCGAATCAACAGCTGCTTATGCATTCATATTCCACAAATGATGCTTCCGTAGGTGAATACAAATTCACGGTCAATGTGGGCCAGCATCTTATCAAGATCACCGGCGGCTGCTGCGAGCTCGTCCGCGTAAGTGAAACATATAAATTAAATAACTCATCCAGCTCACCTGACTAATTCAAATTCCTCTTCTTGCTGCAGGTGGCCAAACTTGTGTTGGACGACTACTTCAGCAGCTCCGAGTTCTTGGCTTCCATTGAGGCGGGCGCCGCCTTTGATGGAACCTCGCTGGTCAGTCCGGTCACAACGCCTTCCACACCGCTGCCCGGCTCGGGGCCACCACAGTTTATGATGGGCAACGCTTTGCCGTTGGCAGACAGTGGCATCAATCTCAACTATGTCGCTGGGCAGGGCAACAATAATGGCGATGGCGATGATGAAGTGTTTGTCGAGTCCAATGGAAGCAGCAATCAAAATGGTCTGGCGCGCTCGCGACGCAGTCACTTCTCACGCAAGGAGTCCACGCCGGAAGCGAAGGCACTGCGCGAAAAGCTCGAGGAAGAACGCGCCGCCAATCTGCTAAAGACGAATACCTGTAAAAATTCAATCGTATGCCAAATTGTTAAGGATAAATCTAATTTGGTGCCTTGTTTGTTTTCCATTTGCAGCTCGCGTCTCGTATGATATTGAACATTTGATGTACTATTCGAAGAGTCCGCATGCCTGGGCGCTACCCACCGAGTGGGTGAAAATGATGGAAACGGTGCCATCGATTCTACGCAACAAGGTAATTCAACCCGTTGACCAGCACTTTATTGCTACTTCAACAAGCTCGCCCAGTGCCGATATCACCCACCTTGCACATAGCTCGTCATTAACAACAATAATATCCACAAAAACAACAACAACTGCGGAAATGTCAGCTTCCATCAATCAAGATTGTGAACCGAGCAATAATCGAATCGTTAGCAATCAAATTCTAATAACTAACAACAGCAGCAAGCAAGCACCACAATTAAAGACCATAAGTGTAACGCTCGATAGTTTAAGTGCACGAAAGCTAATCTCATGTGAACGTGGTGATAATGCTCAAATCATTAATCGCAAGCCATCTTTAGAATCTGATCGTAAGTTATATAACAAACAATTGCAAATTATAACCAACACAATGGGCGCATCTGTATCGGGCAAATGTCGCAACCCAACAAAAGCTGTTTTCCAGCGCTATAGCGAGATCGATGAGCTCTCCCTAGCCATGTGTGATACATGCTCCAATGAGGAGCTCAATAATAATAATCGTGCGTTTATCTAAATTTTATTCATATTCGTATTTTAATCATATCGTTTACGTAACGCCGACGTAAAGGATTTTTCTTATATATACATTCTTTTTTAATCAAATCATACGCTTAATTAATTCGAATAAGCAATTTTTGCATTTGACATCAATCATTAAGATATTAATCCCAGTATTATTGAATATAAAACAAAACGCAACCATTTTCTGATCTTGGGCTCGAAATATTAAATGTTAAATTGAAAATATACCAAAAAAATTAACTGAAAAGCAAATGAAAATTAATTTGTAATTTGAAAAAGAAGAAGAAAAAAAAGAGGAATCTGTATTTTGGCTGTGAAGCAGATTTAGTGTTCGCTAAGCTTATTCTAAAGTTGCCGGTCAACCTTAATTAGTATCCATATTAACACATACACATTACCACACACACACACACATACATACATACACACCTCTTATATATTTGTTCCAACAAACAAAGCAAAACACACACACACACTGTAATTAATGTTTAACAAAGACTAATTAACAATTGCAATTGCATACTTTTGTAGGCTTAAGTGTAACAAAAACTTAGGTGTAAGCGTTTTTTCAAGCATAACCCATTTAAAAATTTATATATACATTATACACATGCATATGTAAAATAAAAAAAAAAACTGACTTGCAAAGTCGAAATGCTTGGCTTTTAACTATTTGTGCATTTCAAACATAATACACCCCATAACACACTCACAAACACAATTTTGTTTAGTTTTGTATATATATATATATATACAAGGTAAAGCAGAGGTATAGCTTTTTATTTAAAGATTTGCACCCTTTTTTAATTGATGTACATTACTCTACTTTGCACAGGATCTACTTGATGAGAGCCAGCGTTTTGATGGTGAGAAATATCTCGCCAGCATTCAGAGTGCCACCAAACGAAATATTGATGCCGCCGACGACACTGAAAATGTGGATGAATAACAAAAACTGAAAAGGAAATCAAGAAACACGCGAGCGCATTACATTAACATATAAGTGAACGATTTACAGATATTGATTTGTTTTTTTTTTGTTTGTGAATAGGAAAGAAAAAAACAAACAACAGATCTGGCAATAGCTAATGTTAATGTGTGTGTCTCAGATATATAACTCAATTAGGGTTTTATCAAGTCCCTAAATCATATCAAACTACACACACACGAACTATCTTTCTGTTTTTTGTACTATGCTTTTAGCTTTAGCGTGTCGCGTACATTTCTTAATATATTATAAACGACCAAATAAAATCAAATGGAATAAATTCTAAATACTTAGTTAGGAGCTATACAAAAAAAAAGAAGAAAAAAATAACAAAAAAGTACGACGATTTATATATGAAAAAAGAAAACTAAGAATCACACCATCTTTCAATATAACAATGCTTTTAGTTAAACCTAAAAAACGATGAATACATACTAATATAATATGCTTACTATGATAATAACAAAATGCAGCTAATTGATGGAACGCTCGTTGAAAACGGCATTACTCACAATCCGACGAAGAGCGGTTTGAAAATTAACAACAACAAATGAACGTAAATGCATTTTTATTCAAGTAGTAAAAACAAAGAAAAATAATTAAACGAAATTTTTATTTTCTCATATGTATCTAATTTCAATCATCCATCTTTTGAATGTACTAGTTCCACTTCTCAAAAACGAAAGAAAAAAAACGATTGTATTGTTTTCATAATTAATTTTGTTTTGTTTTTAATTTTGTGCAATGATTGTATTTGAATTTTCTCTAGTCCAATGCGTTATGGAAACTTTTGTGTCTTTTTTAGTTTCTATATTTAACACGCCAACATTTTGGAATTTCTGTTTATGTTTTAGCTAATTTATTTAATTTATTATAAATTATATACTTTCGACAAATGGAAATCGTTCACATATGCAAATACACATAAATTGAATAAATATCAATATACCATTTTATTTTACTCACGCAAAAAGAAAAGCTCGATTTTCGCTAGGATATGTATAATTTTTATTTATCTTTGGCAACGGGCACATAACACATTTATACACAAATATCATCAAAATGTTAACACATTATAACAATAGTTTAAATTTTGTAATTTTTTTTTGATATGTTAGCGTCAAATGTTCACTTATAAATCAAACAAAAAATTGTGCGACTATTTCGAATGTGTGCGAAGAGAAACATATTTTGGTAAACAACATCACATTGGTTATCGTACATAGTATATATGTATCTATATATATATATATATATATAATTTGTATATTTTGTATATTCTTTATTTGCCCAATAGAGGCCGTCGATCCAAAGTGCGCCGATGCGTTGAGCTTCTTTCGTTAGCATTTCGGAAAGAAGAATGTAGAGATTAGTTAAATGCTCGAACCAACCGGCGAAAATATAGTTTTAGATACACACACAATATCAATACACCAATACACACACAACATCAATAGCTTGCTCACGAACTAGACTCAATATTCACGTACATTGATGTATGATATGTGGCACGCTGAGCCGGCGACATATTCAGATTGCCCTGATGCTTCCGATCATAGGCCCAGATAGCGCATGTTGCCAACAGTGAAACTGTGTGAACAGAAATATTATTGATTAGAGCAGGTGGTTAATTAAGTGCATTCACTACTTACTAAGCAGAAAGAGCATAAAGAAGAGCTGCAGCCAGAAGTGACTGCCGCCACTGCTATCCACAATGAGGCCAGCAAGAATGGTGACCACAGCTAGGCCCATATTTTGCACCGATTGGCAGCTGTGGTTAAAATATTATAGTATAAATATATAGTGTATATAATCAATTCTAGCTTATATAGTGTGTATTATAAATTATAGTATATACATTATAATTCGCTTAGTTGAAATTGTTAGCGAGAACGTAACAAATTCTATCTACTTAAAAGTGTAGTAACATCTATCAGTATTATCTATCATTTCTAGATCGTCTATACTGTATACAACTGTCTATAATATATATATATATATTTCATTGATTTCACTTACAAGCCATATGCCGTGCCCAGTTGATATTCGGGCACAATGAGCGCCACCAAGGGCCACAAACTGGCAGCCAGCATCGAATAGGATAATCCCATAACCGTCATGGCAATATACGGATTCAAATGACTGAAAGTGAGCAACATGTGCGCCACAAGCGTTGCAATTGTAGCCAGAAATACCCAGGTGACATTGCGTCCCACACGATCGATGATAAAACCAAATAGCGGCGATGCAATCGCTGAGATAAAATACACAATCGAGTTGACATTGTTGGCCTGATCGGGCGTCAGCTGGAAATTGGTTGTAAAGAATGTCTGGCCGAGGGCCACAAATGGAAAGATGGCCACATAGTAGGCGACACAAACGACCGATACCATCCAGAAGTCCAGTTTAAATGACATTACATCGCTGAGCTTGGTAATCTCACCGCCAGGATTATTATTACGCTTTAGTATGCGTTCGGCGCGTTTGTCCATCCAACCTAAAACAGTAATATATATACATCAATAATTGATTAATGGATAAAAATATTTATACAGATTATCCACTTACCCAGTATAAGTGTGCATAGCAATGACATGACGCAGGTGGTCGCGGCCAGAAACAGTGTGATGCCCAGGCCCGTGTAACCGGCATAAAACTTGGACACATAGGCGTAGAGCGGTTGCATAATCCAAAAGTTGACAGTGCTACCGAAACGTGCCACAGACAGCTGCAGGCCAAAGACCATGTTCAGCTCCTTGCCCTTGAACCAGAGCACCGCATAGCTGTTCTGGGCAACGGCCAAAGACTCGGCGCCAATGCCAAACACAAAGCGACCGACAATCATTAGCCAAAACTGACCCATCAGACTGCCAGTGGCGAATATCAATTGACCCAGCAGCACGATGACCATATAGATAATGGTGCCCAATCGTATGCCAAAGACGCGATCGATGAGAAAGCCGCCAACAAAGCAGAGCACAATATTTGGCCACGAGTAGATGGAATAGATGAATGTATATTCGGTGGCATTCAAATGCAGCTCTTTCTGAAAGACATCCTGCAGTGCGCCGGGATTATCATAGCAAAAATAGGAACCTGTGAATAAAATAAAAACATTAGTTTCCACATTTCGCTTATAAAAAGTAAAATAAATATATATATATGTTAACTTCAGAAACCATTACAAACGCAAGACAATATTTCATCTCTAAATCTCCAATTTCAACTCACCAAAGCCCAGCAGGCACATAAAAACCAAGGCCAAAAATCGGTGGGGCGTACTGCTGGGATCACAGCAGCCCGGCTTGTTCAGCGGCACAGCCAGTTGTTCGGTGTCCCTTGTGCTGCGCCTACGCACAACTGGCTTCGCCTCATCCTCCCCACTGCTGCTCGAGGCACATTCTACAATTGGCAGACGTTCCTCCCTCGACATGTTTTTTTTTTTTTGTTTTTTAGGGAAGTGCGTTGAATTAAATTGACTTTTGCAAATGCCAAAGGATGTTTACTATTACACTATTGGAGAGAGCTGTCTCAGGATATTATTTGAGTTCTAGCTAAGGCCAAGAGAGCGGTGCGTGGGACGCGGTGCAGGCGGTGTGGGCAGCTGCCCTTTATTAGTGCTTTTTATTACAGGCCAACATCATGCTAATGTATTTGATGGATGTTGCTGTTGTTTGTTTATTGATTATTTCAGTGCAAGTCGAGACGCACTATCAGGTTTTGGTGGGGGTTGTTTTTGGAGGTTTGCCTCGTCGCAGGTTTCAGTTGTTAATCTGCAATGAAAAGTGATGTAGAAATTTTTCTCATTTCACACAAGCTGCATGTGTTTGTGTGTGTGTGTGGGTTGTGTATGCGTTAGTCAAACAAACAGAATCTTGTCAGCATTTTTGCTAATCAGTTAAGTGCATGCATTGTGCTCTGGTTTAGCGAGGCATTAATTAACCTGACACCTGATTTAAAATTTCACTAAGCTTCGGGTTATTTGCGTATTGGCAAGTCAGGAAATATATACAAACACATATTTGTACATGTTTACATTGGCATTTAGGATACACAAAGCCTTTTATCAATGCACGTCACACACAATAATAAAATAATTAATCAGCGCCTGCTTTGCGTTTGTTTTGAATTTAGAATAAAGCGCGCGCTAGTCACGATTTGAAAAATGTCGCTGATAGCCGTAAAATAAATTAACATATATTATCATTGCTGTTATTGTTACAATTTCAAAACAAACACAATCGATTCACACCCACACACAGGAAAAATGATCAACAAGTAAGCACTGTGTTTCCTTTGGTAAAAAAGCAGCGGTTGTCAAATTTGAGCTGTTGCGGCCTCCTACCTGTTTTCCGCGAGCGGAGAAACTTAACTAACGTTCAATTCTTATTTTTCGTTTGGGCCAGGCTATGCGAACCAGTTCGTTCACTCCAATCACACACTGTGTATATCGATAGACAATGCTCGATTTGTTATCAATCGGTCACTGCAAGTGCACGATTGTTTTGTACTATCATTGGTCAAGCTTTATCATAAATTACATACACATATATATATATATATATATATATATATGGCATAAGGTTCAAAATTTCTGAATCATAAAAAAGATTAAACATTGGCTTACACGCAATAGGAAGTGCAACAAAAGAGCAACAAAAAACTATATTTCTGAACATATGTGCTATGCCTGCTAATGACGTCGGTTTCATCGTATAAACGGAGATTTTGAGTTACTATGAAATAATGTCATCGCAACAGCGCAAATTTATACGGAAACAAAACATTTCAAACATCACTGCAAAACTGTAAATACAAACACGCATCTATTTTTGTAATGCTCACAAAAGTCGTAGTAATATCAATTAGTGTTGGCTAGAAACAAGATTACACACACTGCAGATGGCAGCGATAAAGGTGCGTAACTATGCATATATAAATATATTATATATAAAAAAAAAATTGTAAATTTACATATGTTCGGATTTGCATGTGTGTGTGTGTGTGTTTTTTGTAGAACATAGCGCTGGGCATTATGTATGGGCTGTGGGACAGCATACGCGGTATGACGCTGGTGCTGTACATAGACAATGAGGTTGCCAGACAGAATGCGGAGCTGGAAACAATGCGCCAGCTGCGTCGCATGGACAGGGATCACTTCAAGCAATCACAGCAGACACGTTCAACATCGCCAGTGCCCAGCTCGGCGGCGGCAATGATGCGAGAGGAGTATGCCAAGCGGGCAGAACGAAACTCCGATGAACGAACGCTCGAGAAGATTTTGCAGAAAAAGCCACCGGAGAAGCCGCAGCCGCAAGCGTGAGTATGCCATAGAAAATAAGGGGCACTCCAACAATCGATTATGAATGTTAAATATGGACGATAAATATTGTTCGATAATCTGTTGTCGTTTTTTAAATGTCCAAATGCAGCTGTTTTTTTTAGGCAGAAAAAATGAAAAACTTTACCTTTCACATTTATTTTTCATGATTATTGAGTGCCCCTAACAATAGCGCATTACTAATCCAATTTTTATTACGCATTTGCAGCGAGAAGAAAATCGCCAAGAAATTATTTAAATGCTGCCTGCTAAATGGCGGCTTCACCTGGCTGAGCATTGTGCTCTTCGAGAATGTGCTCCTGCCGACGCTTAAATTCTCGTTAACCATCTTCTATGGTGCACAGTCGGATACACTGCCCTTTGTGTGGAGCTGGCTGCATCCGATATTGTCGCTGATATTTGGCATGATGTGGGTGCTGCCCATTTTCATGCTCTCAAAGGTGGTCAGCTCGCTGTGGTTCGCGGACATTGCCAATGCAGCGTATCGTGTGCGCAAGGGACGACCACAGTTGATACCTGGCATCAGTAAACTGGTCGCTGATTTCCTGTTTAGCATGGTGGTGCAAATGCTGTTCCTGGTGCAAAGCATGCTGGTGAATCTGGTGCCGGTGAAATACGTAGGCTCCTCGCTGTGCTTTATACACTTGTGCCTGCTATATTCTCTGTACTCCTTCGAGTACAAATGGTTCAACATGGGCTGGGAGCTGCATCGTCGCCTCACCTACATTGAGAAGAATTGGCCATATTTCTTTGGCTTCGGCATACCGCTGACAGTACTGACAAATATGTCCAGCTCGCTGATTGTCAGCAGCTGCATCTTTTCCATATTCTTTCCGCTCTTCATACTCAGCGGCAATGAGGCCAAGCCCATTGTGGACACCACGTAAGTACTTAAACGGAAGTAAAGATTCTTTGCTAAAAGTTGTCTTCCTCTTATTTTAGCCAATTTTCGCTGCGTCTCTTCTCGCCGGTGGTATTCATATCGAACATGTGCTTTGGCGGCAATCCGTGGAGCAAAACGAATCGGCAGCTGGCCCAGCAACGAAAGCAGATGGAGCAGCAGCGCCAGCAGCAGCGCGAGGAGCTGTTGCTGAAGAAACAGCAGCATATGCGGCAACAGCAGCGCCAACATGAAATGATGGCACGACGGGAGCAGTCGCATTCGCGTTCCCGGACGCCACAGCCCGGCCAGCAGTCGGGGCAGCATTATCGCTACGCTCAGCCGCCTGCATTCGATGCGGCGCGTGTGCGTGATTCGTCAGCGTCATCGACGCACAGCTCGAATGCAGCGACGCCCACGAGCTTTAGGCCACCGCCATTCTTTGGTGGATCGGGCATGCATAGTAATGTGCCGCTGGTGCCCACACCTGTGCCCGGGGCACCACGCACACCCATCATTGTGCACGAGGAGTCGGGCCCAGATGACTGGAATTTGTGAGATTTTATATGCATATACACAAACATAGCATAGGCTTCTATTATATATGTATATATATATTGATCTATATATATATGTATATGTATATTTATATGTTTACTGCAACCATGTACTGCGATCGAGAACTGTGTATGTTAAAGCTTACTTTAGACCTAAACTTACGCATAATGACAATGCACGCTAGTCGCCAGCAACTAGTAGCTACTTATCTAATGTTTGTATTTAAGATTACGCCCACTAGCTGAATAATTGATTGATAGCGTCAGATATTTGGGGGGGATTCTTTTTTTAAGTGCGCCAATGACAATTATTATTTACGCTGGGCATCAAAAAATGTTTCATATATAAATAAAATGTAATAAAATTTTTTGTATTTTCGTCACGTGAATCGAATTTTCTATATATGCATTGGTTAGTTACATTATATATAAAATGCAAATTGAAATAAAAACCAGCAACGACTTGTTCCATAAATATGAAAAAATATGTTTGATATAACAAGTCGTTTCTAGTTTTTATATTCGCCAGCAAATTTTCCACTGCCATAGCTTGGCTAAAGCTCAACAGATTTTGAAAAACAATATATTTTTGATCATGACTTGGCATATAGATTGAGCAGGATAGATTGGCTATTAATCCCGGAAATAGGATCAGGATAAATACCAAAGTCAAGGACACGTATGTGGTGTACACGTGAAGTCGATGAATCGCTGACCCATATCAAGGGGCGAGGTGTTGCCAATTAGCGCTTATGCATTGGGCACGAACCATACATTAGATTGTGTGGTCAACCAATTGATTATCACCAAGGATACACATATGTCCACACATTGGCTCGTTGAAAGCTCTGCGATGTCTTTTTAAGCGAGTTTTCAGTTGTCATTTGTGGTTCGTGGCGTGTGGTCAATGTGCGGTCCTGGCTATAATGTTGAAGAATTTAAAATATTTATGGTTGCTCTGGACATGGCTGCAAATTGCAAACCATTTGGAAATCGCTAACGCTCAGACAAGTCAAAACATCAATGTGTGTAAGTGTGCTAAATCGATAGATGCGAAAGCAATTCTAATTGATAGGGCCATGGACTTGTGTAAACTCATTAAGCATAAAGTGGTTGGGTGGTTTTTTTTTTTGGGTTGACAGTGCAAACAATCTATTTATATACTATATGTGTATGTATGTGTAATGGTAATGTCGTGTCCTTAACAGTTTTTATAAATGAGGTGGATAATGAGCCAGCCACGAAGGCCATTGAGGTGGTCCTTACCTATCTGAAGAAGAATCCCAGCTATGGTTTATCGGTGCAAATTGAATCCATTGAGGCGAATAAAACGGATGCCAAAATATTGCTGGAAGCAAGTAAGTTTCTTAGAGAAAATTATAATTAAATAATAAATAATAATGAAAATAATAATATAAGCTAAATATAAAAATTCAATTCTCCCAATTCCGTTTCTAATATAAACTGATTGATCTTCTCAGTTTGCATCAAGTATGTGGATAGCATTGAAAAGAAACAAACGCCACATTTAATACTGGATACTACAAAATCTGGAGTCTCCTCGGAAACGGTCAAAAGCTTTACCCAGGCACTGGGTTTGCCCACAATTAGCGCCTCCTATGGCCAGGAGGGCGATTTGAGGCAGTGGCGCGATCTGGATGAGTCCAAGCAAAAGTATCTGCTGCAAGTAATGCCACCAGCCGACATAATACCCGAGGCAGTTAGGAGCATTGTCAAGCGGCTGAACATTACCAATGGTTAGTAATACATACACTCAGATAAAAATTCATATAATTTATTTATTTCTGAGTGTAAATATGTAATTATCAATTCGATATTAATTGGTTGCCATACTTCAGCTGCCATTCTTTATGATGACACTTTTGTCATGGATCACAAATACAAGTCGCTGCTGCAAAACATTCAGACACGGCATGTCATTACGGCCATTGCCAAGGATGGGAAACGGGAGCGCGAGGAGCAAATTGAGAAGCTGCGCAATCTGGATATTAATAACTTTTTCATCCTGGGCAATCTGCAATCCATACGCATGGTCCTCGAGTCCGTGAAACCAGCCTACTTTGAGCGCAATTTCGCCTGGCACGCAATCACCCAGAGCGAGGGTGAAGTCAGCAGTCAGAGGGACAATGCTACGATTATGTTCATGAAACCGATGGCATTCACACAATATCGGGATCGGTTGGGCCTGCTGCGCACCACATTCAATCTGAATGAGGAACCCCAGCTGGCATCAGCCTTCTATTTTGATCTGGCACTCCGCAGCTTTTTGGCTATCAAGTGAGTTGGATTATTATTATTTAAGATCTAAGGATTAGGTTTACTTTTTGGCCTTCATTTGAAATTCGATAGTCATTTTAAATTGACTGACCACACGGCTTTTCAGGCGTCCATTGAATTTTAGGACCCGTATAGGACCCAGATGGAATACGAATCTTGAGTGTTGAGTTGAGTTGAATCCACAATATCCGTATCATAAAAGCAGATTGAAGTCTGTGTAAAAGAATTTATTACTTCCTATTATTTAATACCTCCATAGACACCTCCTTATTGATATTATTAACTATAGTGCTTATGTGTATAGTTGAATTACTAAAAAGTGAAATCGAGTACTGCACTGATAAGCCAAATTAATTTTTATAATAGACTTTATTGTATAATCAATTCAGAGTTCTCTATATCTATCATTAAGTACCAAATTTCAAGGTCTTTCTCACGAATTTGTAATTGGACATCTTAACTAACTTTCACCCAATCAGTCTTATTGGTTTTTTTTTCCTGGATTTTCCCCAACAAATTTTGGACCAGTTTCCTTTTAAATACCCCAAGAAATCTGAAAAATATTTCTTATTTTAAATTGTATTTTTAATTTAATTTAATTTATTTTTGTATTCTTCTGTGTTGACTGATATTAGTGGACAATAAATAAATAAATAAATAAATAAACCATATTTATTTAGTCAGGAAAAGCAACTTCCTTCTCTGGTGACAAATTTAATCGATTATTTACATATGTCCTGAGGACAACTAGCTACACATTAAAGAGTGCTTGTCAAATTTGACAGCAACCACGTTTAATTGACTTTCTTTATTATTATTGGATAATAATACATTGTGTCTTTGGTTTCTTTTTGACACATTAAATATCTAATTAATTATGTTAGAGAAATGCTGCAGTCAGGCGCCTGGCCAAAGGATATGGAGTATCTGAAGTGTGACGACTTTCAAGGTGGCAATACACCTGAACGCAATATTGATTTGAGGCAATTTTTTACACAGGTGTGCACACGGTTTAGAGTTTAAATGGGGAAACCCTTGAGCTCCACCAATTATGAGTAATTATTGTTTACAAAATGTGCTCCCAAAGGTTAGCGAACCAACTTCATATGGGTCTTTCGAGCTGGTCACGCAACCGCGGAAACCATTTAATGGCTTCAGCTATATGAAATTTGAAATGGACATAAATGTGCTCCAGATTCGAGGCGGCAGTTCGGTCAACAGCAAATCGATTGGCACCTGGACAGCTGGCCTCGACTCCCCGCTCCTCGTCAAGGATGAGCAGCAAATGCAGAATCTGACCGCAGATACGGTCTATCGCATATTCACTGTGGTGGTAAGTGTTATCTATTTAAGAGTTTATCGTGAGTAGCTTCTCTGGCTAACCTGATATCCATTGTTGCTAAAGAAAATATATTTGTGGAAAATATTTACTTCTTATAGACAGCATTTGCGATATCAGCTTAGTAGATTAATGGCTTGTTGCTGCTGCTTCCAACTTTTGTAAATTGATTAAATGGCAAATAAATGAATATTCTACAAACTAAATAAGAAATTTTACAAGTTGTAGTCAATTCTATTCGATCAAATATATTTTCTATGAACCAATTAAACACAAATTGTAAACGTTTTCTTCTTTTTAATTAATAAAATATTTATAACTTTGGTTTAAGAAAAATTGTATTTTAGATATCGATTCCTAGTGGAGCTGTTCGTACATGATTCTTATTCGACAAACTAGAATTGAGGGGCCATATTCTAAATTAATAATTGTTCTTAATTACAGCAAGCACCCTTTATAATACGCGATGAGACCGCACCAAAGGGCTACAAAGGATACTGTATCGATTTGATCAATGAGATTGCGGCAATAGTTCACTTTGACTATGAGATTCAGGAGGTGGAAGATGGCAAGTTTGGCAACATGGATGAGAAGGGCGAATGGAATGGGATTGTGAAGAAATTGATTGATAAACAGGCCGACATTGGACTGGGTAGCATGTCCGTTATGGCTGAGCGGGAAATTGTGATTGATTTCACTGTGCCATATTACGATCTGGTTGGCATCACCATTATGATGCAGCGTCCCAGTTCACCCAGTTCGCTGTTCAAGTTTCTCACCGTGCTCGAAACGAATGTCTGGCTGTGCATTCTGGCTGCCTATTTCTTTACCAGCTTTCTAATGTGGGTCTTCGATCGCTGGAGCCCATACAGCTACCAGAACAATCGCGAGAAGTACAAGGACGACGAGGAGAAGCGCGAGTTTAATCTGAAGGAGTGCCTTTGGTTCTGCATGACTTCGTTGACGCCACAGGGTGGTGGTGAGGCTCCCAAGAATCTATCGGGTCGTTTGGTGGCGGCAACTTGGTGGCTTTTTGGGTGGGTAACAGAAAAGAATATCTTAATTATTAGTTGGAATTTTTGTTATTCTTTTAATATTGGCCGGTAGCTTCATCATCATTGCCTCGTATACTGCTAATTTGGCTGCCTTTTTGACGGTATCGCGTTTGGATACTCCTGTGGAGTCACTCGACGATCTGGCCAAGCAGTACAAGATTCTCTATGCTCCCTTAAATGGATCCGCGGCGATGACCTATTTTGATCGCATGGCGAATATTGAGCAAATGTTTTATGAGATCTGGAAAGATTTGTCGTTGAACGATTCACTGACGCCACTGGAGCGTTCCAAGTTGGCCGTCTGGGATTATCCAGTGAGCGATAAGTATACAAAAATGTGGCAGGCTATGCAGGAGGCGGGTCTGCCCGCCAGCCTCGAGGATGCAGTGAAGCGTGTGCGCAATTCCTCCACAGCAACGGGTTTCGCATTTCTCGGAGATGCAACGGATATCCGATATCTGCAGTTAACAAATTGCGATCTGCAGGTGGTCGGAGAGGAGTTCTCTCGCAAACCGTATGCAATTGCCGTCCAACAGGGCTCACATCTTAAGGATCAATTCAATAATGCGTAAGTTATCATCATGATGATTACTAAAGATTCGAAATATTTACATTTACCTCCCAGCATTCTGACATTGCTGAACAAGCGGCAGCTGGAGAAGCTCAAGGAGAAATGGTGGAAGAATGATGAGGCGCAAGCCAACTGTGAGAAGCCCGAGGATCAGTCGGATGGCATATCCATACAAAATATTGGCGGAGTCTTTATTGTCATCTTTGTGGGTATTGGCATGGCTTGCATTACGCTCGTCTTTGAATACTGGTGGTACAGATATCGCAAGAATCCCCGTATTATCGACGTGGCCGAGGCAAACTCATCGCAAGCTAATCTCAAGGATGGCGACAAGATGACTGACGGGGTCATGCTGGGTCAGACGGGCGACAAATTTGAAAAATCAAACGCTGCGCTGCGTCCGCGCTTCAATCAATATCCGGCAACGTTCAAGCCGCGTTTTTAAAGTTATGAAAATAATATCATACCAAGATCTCTGTCTACGTCTATAGCAATTAAGTAAACATGCAATATTCTCTCACATTTGTGTGCACTTTAAAGCAATTTTTAATAAATATATGTGTTTTAAAAGACATTAATTATGTGCCGATTTGCCGATTGAACAGCATACCAAATTGTTTAGCATCCGTTGAAAGTGCAGCCCTGCAGTTTCGTTGCAGCCCTGGCTCGATAGATGCCTATCGATAAACTTGTTCCATACCATACACATCTCTCATACTCAAAAAGGCGGAGAAAAGTGTGAAAATTTGTAAAATCTTTCAATAAACAAATATAGTTCGTAACTAAAAGAAGTAAAGAAAGTGTTACCCGCGTGTGTTCATAAATAGCTTGCATGCGGCGCTTGAAGAAACTGTCCAAAAGTCACAGTGTGACGGGGACGCTAGAAACTGATGCGGCGCCGACGTCGACCGAGACATCGGCAACAACAACAATATTGGGGGGAGATGCAGCAGCGACCACGATGACTGCGAATGGTGGAGCAGGAGCAGGAGCAGGGGGAGGAGAGACTTTATTCAACGTTGATATATTCAAGCATTTCGATAAAACGGGCAGAAGTGAATTGTGTGTACATTATAATTATACAATTTAGTGGGTCTTAATTCTGTGTATTTCTCGCCCAGCATAAAATACCTGAAGCAACAGCTACAGGAGAGCCCGGAAAGTCCCGTCTTTGATAAGCATGGAGCATTTAAACAGGGCATCTCAAATGCCATATATGAGCTGCTGTGGCAAGCACTTCGCTTCAAGCTGAAAAAGGATGTTGTTTTGCATGCGCTTACCGATGTGGTCGTAAGTCTTGGCCAAAAACAAACAAGCTAAATCGAAACTAATTTTGTGTTTTTTTGTTTTAGGCTCTGCACAAGGAATTTCCTAGTCTCATATTGGATGTGGTGAATATATTGGACAGCGAGACATCGCTGATGACCGAGGGACTGCAGGAGGAGCGACATGGATTTGTGCAAATTGTCAAGGATCTGGACAAGGTGCTGCCAGAGGCATTGCTGAAGGAGCGACTGGAAATTGATACGCTCCAAGAAGTGGGCATTGTGAAGAACAAAAGTTTCTACACCAAATTCATCAAAGTGAAAACAAAGCTATAGTAAGTGCGGTGTCTAAAGATGGATAATTTGATAGTTAAGCATTTATATTCAAATTAGGCCATCTATAGTATTTTATTTTTCATTGTATTTAATATATATTTTACAGCTATAAGCAGAGGCGTTTTAATCTCTTTCGCGAGGAGAGCGAGGGCTTTGCCAAGCTGATCACAGAATTGAATCAAGATTTTGAGGAGCACACCACACCCGATGTCATCATGGACATCATCAAATCACTGATAGGTAACTCTTTATATTTCATTTTAATGTGTATATCTGATTTATGTTGTCGATTTGAAGGTTGCTTTAATCTGGATCCGAATCGTGTGCTGGATATTATAATTGAGTCCTTTGAGACGCGGCCCGATCGCTGGAAGCTATTTATACCGTTGCTACGCAGCTATATGCCCACTGGCTCCATAATATGCGAAGTACTCGGCTACAAATTCTGCCATTTTAAGGCGTCGCGCACGCCTCGCTCCTTGCACCATGTCTGTGCACTGCTCCTGAAGCACGGCGTCATCGAGCTAAATGATATTTATGTGTGGCTGGCGCCCAACGATGGCAGCATACGTGCAATTTGGGATGAGGAATTGGCAGAGGCCAGGGAAATGGTGCGCAAACTTCATGTGATCTCCACCAACAAAAAAGATGACGACAAGGAACCACCACCACCACCTACAACTAAGAAATTCGATGAGGTTTGCATGAACTTTTATAAAGAATTATAAAGAATCGTAGTTATCATTTATGTTTTCCACAGGACAAATACAATGCTAATCAAAAGTTTGGTCTATGTGAGGCGCTGCTCAAGGTTGGCGACTGGGAAAATGCGTACAAAATTATACAAAAGCTGCCGGATCAATCGGTTGTGGTGCAAGATCCGATTGCACGTGCCATCGTCGAGCTTGTGCATCTTTCTGTTGAGCATATCTACTACAAGAGATGCTTCAAAGCGCCCGCCGGCCGCAAACCCAGTCGCAATCGTCTGTACGATGATGCCAGCCTGGTGGCCAAGATGCAGGTCCGCGAATTTGCCGATCTACGCAAGTATACGTGGCCCATGGCGAACGTTTTGGGTCCGGCGATGCACTGCGACACGATTCTGATGTACAAACTGGTGCGGATCATGGGCAGCGTATTGCATGACATGGGCGTGGATAGTTTGAATGGTCCGCCGCCGAATACGGATCAGGAGCAGCAGTACTATGACATCATCAGTTGCCTGGATGCGTGCATATTGCCCTCGCTACTCTATTTGGACTGCAATTGTCCCATGTCCGAGGAGATTTGGTCCGTACTCAAATTCTTTCCATATCACTTACGATACAGTCTGTACGGGCGCTGGAAGAACGACAGCTATCAGTTGCATCCGAATCTTATCCGCCGTTGTGGTCTGGCGCAGCGGGACATCAAGGCGCTGATGAAGCGCGTCAGCAAGGAGAATGTCAAACCGCTGGGACGACTTGTCGGCAAATACAGCCATTGTGCGCCTGGACTGCTCTTTGATTATGTAACTATAAATATAAATCCTTGTCAAATGCAACACAAATTATACCCCCGCTCATTATTTTTTTTTAAGATTCTTGTGCAGATCCAAATGTATGATAATTTAATTGGACCCGTTTGCGATATGCTCAAATATTTGACAAATTTATCATTTGACTGCCTCGGATACTGCATCATTGAGTCTCTGACCATGACGGGTCGTGGTCGGTTTAAGGACGATGGCACCTCGCTCTCACTGTGGCTGCAAAGTCTCGCCTCGTTCTGTGGCAACATCTACAAGAAGTATAGCATCGAAATGAGCGGCCTGCTGCAGTATGTCGCCAATCAGCTCAAGTCGCAGAAGAGTCTCGATCTGCTTGTGCTCCGGGAACTCGTCCACAAAATGGCCGGTGTCGAGTCCTGCGAGGAGATGACCAACGATCAGCTGCAGGCGCTCTGCGGCGGCGAGCAATTGCGTGGCGAGGTGATGTACAAATTTGCACCTTTTACACAATAAATATTCACATATTTTGTACTTGTGATTTTTAGGCTGGCTACTTTAGTCAGGTACGCAACACGAAAAAGTCATCGAATCGCTTGAAGGAGGCATTGGCTAACAATGATCTCGCCGTCACACTTTGCCTGCTGATGGCCCAGCAGAAGCACTGTGTCATCTATCGGGAAACGGCAGCGCATAGCCATCTGAAGCTGGTGGGCAGTCTGTATGATCAGTGCCAGGATGCTTTGGTGCAGTTTGGCACATTTCTGGGCTCCACTTATTCGGTGGATGAGTACGTGGAACGCTTGCCATCAATTATCACAATGCTGCGCGAATATCACATCAATACGGATGTCGCATTCTTCCTCGCCCGGCCCATGTTCACGCATCAGATTAACGTAGGTATTAACGAGATTATTCTTGAATGCCATTTAAGCATTTGTATTTGTGTCTATTTTGTGCTTGCAGCAAAAATATGATCAATTACGCAAAGCGGATCCCAATGCTAAGAAGCTGACAACGACACAAAAGCTGCAAAAGTATCTGGATGCCACGCAACTGATTATGAATCCCATTGTGGAGTCGGTGCGTCCGCTGCACAGTGCCAAGGTGTGGGAGGACATCAGTCCACAGTTTCTGGTCACATTCTGGAGCCTGAGCATGTACGATCTGCATGTGCCCAACGAGATCTATCAGCGTGAGATTGGCAAGCTCAAACAGCTTGCTCAGCAAGCTGCCGATGGCAAAGATTCGGTAAAATCAATAACAACAATAAATAATTCTAAATAATTAGCGTATCTTTTGCAGAATCAGTCCAAGAACAAAAAGGAGCAAGAGCGTTACATAGCGCTCATGGAGAAACTGAATGATGAGCGCAAGAAGCAGCATGAGCATGTGGATAAGACGCTGCAACGGCTACAGGAGCAGAAGGATGGTTGGTTCCTGTTGCGTTCGGCCAAATCGGCGAAGAATGATACGATTACACAGTTCCTGCAGTTGTGCCTCTTTCCGCGCTGCACCTTCACTGCCCTGGATGCACTCTATTGTGCCAAGTTTGTTCAAACCATACACAATCTGAAGACTGCGAATTTCTCCACGCTGCTCTGCTACGATCGGGTATGCTTGTCCACCTCCAACTCTGAATGTTATTAATCCCTAACAATAATGTAAATCCCTAGCTCTTTTGCGACATTACGTACTCGGTGACATCCTGCACGGAGGGTGAGGCGACGCGATATGGCCGCTTTCTGTGTGCCATGCTGGAGACGGTGATGCGCTGGCATTCGGATCAGGCCGTGTTCAACAAAGAGTGCGCCAATTATCCTGGCTTTGTGACCAAGTTCCGCGTTAGCAATCAATTCTCGGACACCAACGATCATGTGGGCTACGAGAATTATCGTCATGTGTGCCACAAGTGGCACTATAAAATCACCAAAGCGATTGTGTTCTGTCTGGACTCGAAGGACTTTATGCAGATACGCAATGCGCTCATCATATTGATGCGCATCTTGCCCCACTATCCGGTCCTCTCCAAGCTCGAGCAGATCATTGAGCGCAAGGTAGACAAAGTGCGAGAGGAGGAGAAGACGCAGCGTCCCGATTTGTTTGCCATCGCCACCAGTTACATTGGCCAGCTGAAGCTGAAGACGCCGCACATGTTCAAGGAGAGCGATTTCCATCAGGTGGCTGAGCGTCCGGCCAAGGACAGTGTACCCTCATCGCCCGTTAGTAACGCCAAGGTGCTCTCCACGGAGAAAACAGCAGCAACTGCTGCTGCTGCAACTGCCACAACAACAACGTCCATGACACCAACGAAACCAGCCACTATTTCATCCTCCTTTTACAGCAACGAACAAAAGACAGCTGGTGGCAAAGAGCAGCAGGACGCTAAGGCTGGTAAGTTGATCTACATTTAAGCAGTAGTTTTTTTTTTAGGGGAACTATTGTGTTCCCTTTTTCTAGGTAATCTAGCCTATGGAGTCCTTTGGTTAGTGTTGTTTTTTCTGAGAGATTTATTTTTTAGTTATCTTAAGAGTATAGAAATAAATGTTAGATATACCAACTAATGTCGTGCAACTCTATTCCAGGTGGCGCAGTGCGAGGCGAGGTGAAACTTAGCAAAACGGATGGGAGCAGCACTACAACGGTGACTTCCATCTCAAAGTCCATTTCGGCGCCGGCGACAAGCGAGCGTGAACGCGAGAGTAAACGGGATGCGATCGGAGGAGGAACAGGATCAACGCAATCGCATCGCAGCAACGATGTCAAGGACGAGCTGCAGTCGAGCAGCAGTGGTGCCAACAACAACAACAGCAGCAACAACAACAACACGAGCAGCAGCAATGGCAGCGAGCAGCGACGCAGTCGTGAGCTGGAACGTGAACGCGAACGCGAACGGGATCGGGAGGAGCGTCACAGCTTGAGCAGCACACGCAGCTCGCAGCGTCCAAGCAACAACAAAGAAGGTCGCATCGAGTTGCGCACAGAAGCGGAGTTGCAGCAGCGGGCCCGGGAACGGACGCAGCGGCTTGAGGAGCTGGAGGCGGCCACTCTGCGCGCCCACAAGCGCGAGAAGCTATCGCGTCGCGATGAGCGCAGTCAGCATCGACACGATGGCGTCGAGACGGTGGACCTTGTTACGGGCAGCGGCAGCAGCAGCCAGGAGCATCTACGTAGCCACTACGAAGAGTACGAGGGACGCCAGCGAGATCGTGATCTGAGTTCGGTGTCCAATGAGAGCAACGGTTCCCTGCAGCATCGACGCAGTCACGAGACAATTGAATATGATAAAGGTATGCTTAATGCTAACAACTCTCGCTTCGAGCACATGCAACTAATCCTATTTGCAATATCCATCTATCGGTTTAGATTCTAAACGTCGTAAAATGGAATCGTCGTCGTCAAGTTCAAAGGTTAGTAGCATATGGTTGCATACATAGTACGCTAAGACAACGACCCGACAACGGAGGGCATTAAAACTGACAACAATAAAAAACAAAATGAGTCAAAATGAGCAATCAGCGAAAGACGATTGACAACAACAAATATAAATCACACACATGACTCCTCCACCAAACGAGATGTCAGACGAACTCAACGCAACGCAACTCCACAACCAACCAACCCACCAAAAAATAAAATCAAATTCTACTGGACACATATTGCGGATCTCGTCCTAGTTAAGCAAGTGCAATCTTCCTGGGGAAGGAGTATTCTAGTTTTAATATCTCCACATTTTTAGTTAATAAGCGCACAGTTGAACTGTATTTAGTATTTAAGTATGAATATTTTTAGTGAAATTGAATTTGAGGCAGCTTTTTTTTAGAGAGTAATAGGTTTTTTTTTTCTATGCAATTCAAATTGTTTTGTTATGTAGTTTAAATCTAAGCTAGTTACATAAGTGGCAATGTGGACGACAAAAACCACTACTGAAGGAAGGCAAAGACGAACGGAGCATACTGTCGTGGATGTCGCTGTATACCCTGTAAAGATGCACACCTTCACCAGGAATATCTAAAAAAAAAAAAACAAAGCAGACGAGGCAAAATGAAAATGATCAACAGTTTTCAAATAAATACAAATCATCATTGCATCACTTCCAACTATGAAACCAAGTGAAACACATTTAAAACGAAGCTGAGCCAAGAGGAACACAATCTGAATCTCTAGTTGATCCCAACAAGGAATCGAACAATATCCATCCATATCATTTGATAATGTAACCCAACGAAAGCAGTCGTTATCTTCGAGCACATTCTCCAAGCTCTTGAGGTCAATGCTAATTCAATCGACCACGCAGCGATATAATCCAAGTTTCCAAAATCATCAGAAGATAATCAGAAATCCATAACTGAACAGAAGCGAACAATATGTAATTATTTATCGAAACAACACCAAAATACTTCAAAGGCAGCAGCTAGACGATTTGAAAACCATATCACTACAAAAACGATGAGAACTTCTTCCAAACCATTCATTCAACGAGTAAAAAAAGGATCAAGCGTTCCCCAGAGCATTCCGCCGAAGCAGTATTCAATCCAACATGTTGAATCTTTCGATGACTTGAAAAAATCATCAATTGTTCATCCACCAACATTATTAAAACCAAAAAAAAAAAACAATGAAAAGTTTCGAGAAATGCAACAATAAATCTTCAAAGGCAACAAATACTACAAAAGATTCAACCATAATCCGAGCATAGCCGATGTACAATCTGAAAACAAAAACTGCTGAAGCACTTACGAAAAAGTATCCAGCTTAAATGAAGACCCAACTCAATCAACAAACCCATCTCAATTCCAAGGGACCAACAACTGGCAAAGAAAACACAATCGACAAATTACAAAATGGAAACCTTTTTGATGCTGGATATTTTACTACGACTCTGCAGCTTCTCCAGCTTGGTATGCAGCAGACCAGCGTTTAGTTGTTAAAATCCCGTTGATCTTGATCTCCTCTCGTGTGCGGACGGGTAAGTGATCAGCTCGTTGTGGGGATAAAGGACAATCAACTTTAGGGACAGAAGGGATGGGGCAGGGGCGCAGGACTGTTTAGTGGCTGGTTAACATGGTCTTTTTCTAAACACTTATTTTAATTTTATTTTTGAGTTTTTGTTTTGTTTTTTTTTTTGTTAATTTCTTACACAACAAGAAAAACAATCCGTTTAAATTGCACAAATTGTGAGTTGTTGCCAATTATTAATGTTGTACCATTACAGAAGGTTGAGGAGCTCGTAGATAGTGTGAAGAAGGCGCGAGGCCTCAAGACCAAAGAGCGCAACAAAGACAAGATGTCCGATGAAGAGCGCGATGCGCGCAGGGATCGCAAGATGGGGCGCAAACGGGATCGGAACGAGGAGTCCGGCAGCGGCGATCACAAGCGTCGGCGCGAAGGTGAGGCGAGAACACTGCAAATTTTATGCAGGACATTCAAGAATTAACGCAATTTTCAGCACAAAATGGCGACGACGATTTGCGCGAACGGGAACGCCATAGAGTAAGTTAAATATATATTTATATATTTATATATATATGTACATAAATATATGTTCTGACTAATATGTATCTACTATTTCCACACAGGATAAATCTTCCCGTGAGCGTTCGCATGAGAAATTCGATCGGGAACGCGGCGGCAGCTCGCGTGGAGATGATCGACAGTATGGCTCGAAGTCGTCACGCTTCTCGAGAATTAACTACTGAACTAAAATTCGAGTTTTATTTTCCGTACAGTGGAACGCATTTTGAATTGAGAATAACGAAACAAATAATTAAAATACAATTTTTTTCTATTTTAACGTAAAGTGAAACTAATTTGTGAAAATTGTACAATTTTCTAGTGTGTATTTTAAAAAGTTAAATAATTACAAAATAAAATCAATGTAAATTTAAGCAAAACTACGTTTACCAATTTCTATTGTTTTCATTCGGTTTTGAAAATTGATTTGGCGGTTATTTTCGATAAGCGGTCCGATCATCCTTTCTGCCATTCACACGGTTGCAGGAACCGTTGTGAATGCTATTATAAGAATCGATACTTTTTATAAACCGTTTAAAAAAATAGCAACCCTAATTTCACTTGCCACCGTTATGACAAATTTAGTACATTTTCTTAGCATAAAGGACATATCGCTACCAATGTCCTGTGGCCACACGTGAAGGTGAAGCTCAGAGGCAGAGAAAAAACTTCAGTCTTCAGTGCGTGTCCCATCAAATTGGCAATGGCAATGGCCCGGCGGCAGTTCGACATTAGTAAATACATAATTTTCCACAAAAATCAAATCAAATTGTTTGCTGTTTATATGAAAACGGCAAATCTAATGCAAAACTTCAACGTGCTAAAGCGTTCGCTGTAAGAAATCGCTGCTGCCGGAGGAGGAGGCAGGAGGAAGGAGGAGTTGGGGCGCTCTGTCGCTGCCGCCGCCTAGTTCCCCACCAATACATTCACAACAGTTTTGCTATGTTTGTGGTTGTGTGTGTATGTGTGTGTGCTGAAAGTTCTTAGTGTTACTAAAATTACATCAATTATTATTATGCGATATGCGGCGTCAGCAATAAGCAAGCCAAACAAGTGTTAAACCTCAATAGAAAACGAACAACAAACAAAAGATCTAATTTACAATACACATGTATATGAAATTCAAAATTAATTATTAAATCAAAACGAAATGGGCAGAAATACTGAAACTTTGGGCATATCTGCTAATTGGCACAATAAAAACTTTTTGCAACGGTAAGTTTTATTCATAAGGGAACCCCTACTTTCGAGTCATCTGGTATCTGCTTATTATTATATATATATATGTATAGCTTATATAATAATATACAGTGGTTGCTCGTCAATTAAATTTTTACAAAATCATCAGGTTGCCTTTCAAATTCTTTTGTTTTTTCAAAATTGACAAATATTTATGAGTTGTAACAATCTCTGAAATGTAAACTGTATTACTTTGCTTAAGCTTGATACTGTGCACGGTTTTCTTAAATAAGTACATAATTATAATTGCATAATAAAAAGCCAGGTTTTAATTAACAAATATACTATATAATTTCCTTTGTGATTTTTATGAGCAACACAAGGTTATAAATCTAATGAGCCCGTTTTGGTGCAACTAAAAAGCATTTCCTAGCTTTGATAGTGTTGTAAAAATGAAGCTAATACTTTTGCTGTCTCTCTCACCCTCCCTCTTTCGCTCTCACTCTCTCGATTTGTTTGCTCTCCCACGCCACAAAAGGCAAACATCTGTTTTTGCAGACTAACAGGCAGGCAGGCAGGCGGCGTCAAATAGTGCGCATGTCACATGTAATGCCCACGCTAACGTTACCTACGCTAAACAAAAACAAGTTGTCACAACGACGCCGAAATTGTCTCTATTTTTACGTCACAATGCTTGTAGCTACCGACGCTTCCATAAGGACTGCAAGCCATAATAACAACATACAAAAGCAGCTGCAGCGCTCAAAAGCATGCTAAGTTTTCACTGTGAGAGTTTGTTTGTATGTATATGTGTTTTTTGCTACAGCATTGCAGGCGCCATGTTGGTTGATGATTTTGTTTTGTCATGTGCACAATACAAACACATACATACATACATAAGTATTACGATTTGCTTTGCTGCATTTCACTTTGATCAGTGGAGCTTGACAAGTGTCTATCGATATCGCTTTTAATTATCGAATTGCTTTTCTAATCAATTATGCATGACTGTCATGAAACGTTTACCCACACATAAATATGTATGAAAGCGACACAAACCGTTGTGTGTGTGTGTGTTTTTCTTTCTTTTTGGTCTTTCCGTTTGACCATGCCCAAGGCAATAACTATTGTCTATTTGTCACGCCCCAACCAGTCTTACATATATTTGCCTCTCAACGCCACTGATTTACTAGACGACTATTGCGTGTCTTTCGTCCTTCGTACATAGCCATTGCCAAAGTCTAATAAATTCCTCATCCTTCTTGTTCTTCCTCTTCTCCTTCTTCGTTATTATCTCCATATTTTGCTTGCTACTTTGAACTACTACTGCTGCTGCTGTTTTCTGGCTATTTTCGGTCTTCGTCTCATTGTCAAGCGTCCTTGAGCAGTGCCAGCCCATTACATAACGCATCACAGCCTTGCTTTGTTGCTATTTAGTTGAGTGTGTCTGTGTGTGTGTGTGAGAAATATTACATTTTATTCAACATACTTATTACGATCTCGAACAACAAAAAGTTTGCGTCCACACAATGAAATGTTTAAGCCGATTGAACTCAAAGTTCTTCGCATTTCCCCACTTTTTATTCGACCCGTTTCCAGTAAAACATCTCTTTGAAAAAGTTTTGTGTATTTTGGAGCTATAAATACTGTACGCCAGTGGTTGCTGTTATTGTTATTGCCTAGGCGGTTTGGTTTTGGTAAAATCTTTAACAAGTAGCGGTCAGTCGCTGTAGAAATAGATGGAATGTAACTTTATAAGAAATTTCTTTTCAGAGGTTAAGTTTCTGATGGGTTGATAAGTGTATAACACTCGACTTGTACTTTTAATTTAAAACTCTTACAAAATATGCGTGACATTATTTATTCTTTGGTACTGTAAAATTTATTCAATTTTAAAATAGTTATCATATTCAGTTACCAAATTAAGCATTCACCAATGACTAAGGGTTCAAACTTTGCTTAGTCTTCACTTTATTGCGTCGCAGGATTGCGTCTCGGGATCTCAGTCACGTGTCCTTTGGTATCAGTTATGTGCACCCAAGTGCATGCTGCGTTCAAGTACAAGGATAATGTGTACACACAAAATAATTTGTGTGCATATTACAGATATCTCTCATATCTGTGGTGCAGTTTGAAGGCGCCAGTCAGTTTACCACCACCTTCATCCTTCATCCTTCTTCCTGACAACTGGCTAAACTGCTTGGCTGTCTTTTTTTTGCTTTTTTTTTGTTGCCCAGATATTGATCGATATGGAAATGCCATGAACCTGATATTGAAATACACAAAGCAGCACATTCGTAGACACATTGTGTGCATACATTTTCAATGGCAGGCAGAATGGAATCGCACACATTGGCAGGCATTGTGTACACTGTAATTACAAACGAATTACGTGTGGGTCTCATTATCCTTGCACACAAACACACACACACACAGTAATAATTAATGCAAACTGCATGTCGCAAGAATTCCTTCCTTCTGCTTGTTCACTCAATTATTAATTCCAATTAACAATGAAAATTGCTCAACAAAATAGATACAAAGCGAAATGCAGAAAACAATCGTAATGCATATGTCATAGTCGTTTCCACTATTTATTTATACTATATCTGAATCTGACGTTGAGCTATACGCTTTTCTGGTGTAACTTTATTATCGGTGAGTAATTTTAACAACGGGCATGGATTTATTCATTTTAAATTTTTTGACTTATTTATATTTAGCATTATATTTATAGCAAATCGTTCTGTAATATTCTTCAGCAAGCGTAAATGGCTTGTTTTATTTAAAAGCATTTTCTTTATTTATTCATATTTAATGTATTTTTTTTAAATTTAAATTGAATAGAAACCATCAAAATTTTGGTCTAATAAAATAAATCTGAATATAAAAAATGGTTGTAATATTTAAATTTACACGTTATTTAATATTATATACACACATATAAAAATCAATATATTTTATTTGTTTTTGGTTAGTGGCCCCTTTTTATGATATGATGATATGCAAATGCTTCCTTGAAGATGAATCCCGACTGGAGTCTAAATATATTGGAGTACAAATTAAAATACACTTGACCGGGAACTAGTCAAAATCACTTAATTACATTTTAATTATTTGTAATATTTTCATAATTATTAATATTATTATTATGATTATTATAATTTTCTTATTGCAATAATTATTTGTATTATCATTATTATAACATATCATATATTTATTTCATGTGTAATAATATTGAAATATTAAATAAATCTCTTATATTTAGAGTTCATTCATTATATATTTTATTTGCACATTGTATTTAGCTCAATATGAATTGTAAAATTGTTTGAACTAAGCAAGCCCACTGTGCAGCCGGCGTTTTTTCTCGCTCTCTCTCAACTCTCTCCGTCACTCACGCGCGTCTCGCTCTCTGGCTCTTTCTCTCTGCGTGCGTGTGTGCCTGTGTGTCTGTGTATGTGTGTGTGTTATGAGTTTTCCTGCTGCTGTTTTGTTGTTCTGTTTCAGTTCTCGGCTTTTGAGCGCGCAATGCAGTTTGTTTTTCGTTCGTTCGCAAAATAAATTAAAAAATAAATAAATGTATAAAATATTATAAACACCATGTTCATCTCTATATAAATATTTACAGTTATCTGTGGTTTTGCAAACACGTGTTTTGATTGTGTCAAAATTGCGCCAATTTTGCATATAGAAACTTAAAAACGCAATTGAATTTGTTGATAATATTACATATTTAAGCATGCTGTGCCAATAATTGATGTTATTTATAAACACCACAAAATAACTCAATGTTTGAATATCCAAACAAAAATCGGAAAACACCAGACTAAAGGCACAGCTGCTCTTTGACGTGCTGTCGCGAAAAAGCAAAAGGCAAAAAGTCACTTGAAAATATAAAGCAAAAATACAAAACGTGCGTAAGAAATACAATGTTATAAAATAAATTGTTATATATTTTAAATATACTATATATATTCTGTACAATATATTTAAACTCTGTCTGTATGCGAGTATTTTTAGACATATCTTTTTTTCATAATTTCTTTTCCAAATGCAATGAATTTTCCTCCCAAAAAGGTGTACTTCTCATGTTTATTTTGGCTTTTCAGCTCTGCAGCTCTTCACCCACCCGATCTCTTTAACTCTCTCTCTCTCTCTGTCTCTCTCCCTCTCCCGCTCTCTCTCTCTTTCTCGCTCTATATCTCTCTCGCTGTGTGCCGCTTCTGTTTCTCTTTGCCGCACTGTTTTGGCCTTTGAATGGTGAGCGCGTTACGCATTCCAACATCTTTTTCAGTCCAGTCATTGGCGGGGAACGAACTCTGTGCTACATTGTTGTTCTTCCAGGGTTAAGACAATAAAACTGTCAAAATCACAGAGTCTTTCTACGAAAACTCACCTACAATTATTGCGGGTATATCTTGCGCTGAAAGGTCTTAAAACATTTTTAGGACCACGGCTATTTGGCTCTATTATTCCGACAGTCAGTCAGTTTGAAAGTCTTTTAATCTAGGTCATATTTTCATCAAACGTATCTTTCGTTTCTTTGAAAGTCTTTTAAGCTTGCGCATTTTTTCATCAAAATGTGTCTTTCACATAATGATGGAATCAATTACTTTACCGTTTTATCAAATCTGACTTTGTTATCTGGAATATATTTACCTAATGCCTAAAGACCTTGAGACATTTTCGTTGTAAATTTGCTGACCACATTACTATCTATAAATATGACAAATAATAGATCACAATTAATAACAAAAGCCCAAAAAAAAAAAAAAAAAATTACCGATAATAGTTTCGATAACAACATTATGAACGTTATGTCTGGAATTCTGTGCATAATATCATTTAATTTATAATGAATAGCTTGGACAAAAGTCTACCTATATTATAATTCTATCAATATCTATAATTGTATATTTTTTTAAATGGTTTTTAAAGCTCCCATTTTAATTCAAAGGGTATGTGCTACATTGATATCAGTT